CCCCAAAACCCCAAAACCCCAAAACCCCGAAGTGTTTCGAGAGAGATTTACCAGTTAAATCAAATTGATGTATAAAAGGTTATAGTAAATTTCTTAAATTATTCATCATAAACAATATTGGTCTCATTCCCATTTAGGTCCTGTTTTTTCATCTTTACTCACTGGTTAAATGAATACCTTCCTACTTTTTGGTGAACCACTTAGTATATCATTTTTGATATTAGTGTTGAAATCTCTACTTCCACCAGTCATCATAGTTGGGTCTTTTTCTTTCATCTTTGGAATAATTTTCATAGGATCAATATAGGCAGCATTAGCGAATATAGTTGAAGGGATGTTCTCAATATGTTTTGAGGCTAAGATTGATCTCGTAGTAATATCTCTGAGTCTTGTGTTTGACAATCTAAACCCAACCTTTTTAGGAGGATCTTCAAGTAAATTTCTATGCTTCTCAATTTATCCTGGTTTCAAATGCTATATCGTATTAACTTTGAAGTGAGGATTTTCTACTACAAGTTTGTTTTTCCATGTCTCTAATTCTTTTTATTAAAGCATTTGTTGCTCCTTAACCATATCATCACCAGAGATAAACACTGTATTAAAGAATTCACGATCTGAAAATGTAGGGGGCACTCTAAAGTTCTTTTAAAAATCGGACTTTCCATCGTCTGGAATAAAAGGCTATCTGCCCTTCATTGCTTCCATTTTCTCCTTGAGCTATTCAACGTAGGGTAACTATAGATCATCAATTATACATTATGGTGGTTTTTTAGGATGCTCAGCATAGTTATTTTTCTTTATTAGATTGTCAAAGCCTTTCTTAGTTTTCCACTTTTATTCATTTTCCTCTTTTTCCTTCATTTTAATTTCGTTTTCATTAATGAGAGGGAATGCTAAAGTTAGGAAATCAGAAGAGTATGTATAGAAGTTTTTCTTATCATCAGCTATTTACTTTCTCAGCTGCTCTTTTTGGAATTCCCATATATTTAGCTTTTAGTTACCATACATAAAGACCTCAACACCCTCAGGAATGTTCATTCTTTCCTTGGGAGGTCTTCCAACACTCATACTTTTTAGCTTATCAATCTATTCTTGCTTTAAGTCTCTCTGTGCTGCTTCTTTTCTAGATTTCAACAAATCTTCAAAATCATGATTCTTGGCTTCGGTTTATCCTTTGTGAGAGTATCTCTCTCTTCTTTAAGTATATTAATTAGTGTTTTCTTGAGTTGAAGGCTTTTTATCAAATTAAGAAGCCGTAGCCTGTGAAAATACAGTGACACTCTTTTATGCCATAGTATCGTCAGCAAAGTTAACAGACATGGTCTCATCACCAACCTTTTTTCTTCTCGGCTTATTTGCTCTTCCATAAAGATCTTCATACGATAATGAATCTCCGTATTTTCTCTCTAAATTCAAAAGTCGTTCAGTAACAGGGAAGAGATTAAAGTCTCTTACTAGAGTCATTCTGTCAAGTTTCCTCATTTCAGCGAATTTCTAAAGAGTATCATAGATATCTTCTGGCACCTTTGACCTAAGATATACATCAGGAGATCCCATAATCTTTGTAAGAGTGTCTCTTAGTTTTACTTTTTTTATCTGAACATTGAAGTCAAGGTAAAGTCTGTTTTTGAATCTCACTTCAGGGTTATACAAAAGTTTAAATTTCTTATCATTAGGCCTTTGACGTTAGTTTTCAATATAAAACTAATTCATGCCTCTGCCTAGACCACCAAGGCCCTCAAAGACATAAATTCTACATTCTGCATCCATTAACTCAAAACCTCCTATAATATCCATTTTTCTATTTTTCTTCTCTTCATCTGAAAATTCTTTTGTGTTTATGTATCGGACATTATCAACACCAAGACCTAGCATATTAATGTTCTCAAAGGAGGTCTCTATTTATTTAACCATATCTTATGCTTTATAGGGAATTATGATAATAGCTCTTTCATAGATGGCATCTTGCTCATTGAAAGCTTCTTGAGTTCTATTAGGAGTCATAAGGGCAGATCTCATGCTACCTTATGATATCAAATGCTCCTAAGACTTAGCATTATTAAGTTATGAAGTAGTTTGAGCACCTGGTTTATTTGTTAAGTTTGACACTCTTTAATCTGCCTAGGCTTAAGTAGTTGAATCTTCTCCAAGAGAGGGTTTTAACAATTTTAACTCATTTTCCTCATTAAATGATCCTATTGGATAGGATAGTTCAGCAGTGAGTACACAGTAAGTAGCATTGATTAGATAGGGCGATGCCTTTTCTATTCCTCTTTCACCTTTCCTTGCAGTAGTGTTCAAATCTAAATTTTAAGTATTATCTTGCTATTCTCTTTTGACTGGATAAACATCAGATCTTAATTTAAGCTCCTTGCAATTCGATCTTAAAAAATCCTTCAAGGTAAACTTGGCACAACCTATGGAAAACTTGGCATCTTTCTCATCCTCAGGTGGAACGTACTCATCACAGTCATGCAATTCAACTTTCACGATTTAGGTAGCCAGTAATTCCTTCAGTTAAACTGGATCTTATGAGCCAATGAGGAATACGTGCTTGTGCATGAATTTAATAAAAGGTTGCTATGGAAACTCCAAAGTTGAGAATGACTTTCCATCTACAAATTTGAAGACACAGTATATTGGCTTAAACTTAGGTTCAGTTTTATATGGAATGTCTTTGCAAGCAACTAGATGAATTTGAAGGGGATTAAGTTTTTTCCTTAAAAAATCAGAAAGTAAAGGCTAATCACTCTATATGGTGACACTCAAGTAGTGAATTTGAATAGGTTTGAGCTTTTCAAACATCCAATTAAAGTCAACTTTGGTCTTCGGGAAAAGCATACAGGAAAGATCAATTTTTACTGTGTCCTTCAGAGATTCCTCTTAAGTTTCACGATTTACTTCGTAAACTTCAATCTTCATATAGGATTCTGCAAATCTCTTGGCTACTTCTTCCGTAATACGAATACCGTTACCCATCTCCTACCCAAAATCCTTGGTAAAAGTAATTTATCTAGGCCTGTTGTCAGTTATCTCTTCTAAAGCACCACCCTTCTTTGGATCTGGCTTAGCAGGAGCAGCTGGCTTTTTACCGGCAGGGGCTCCTTTGGATGGAGCCTCTTATTCTACTGGTTTTGGTTCCTCACCTTCTATTTTAATCAATGTCCAATCTCTAAAAAATCCAGTATCATGCTTTTAAAAATCAATAGAGTCTCCATTAATGTTAATCCAATCGAATTTCAGCTTAAAGTAATGTCCTGCCTCTTATTTAGTCTCAAATATAAGCTTAAATTAGCATTCATTCTTAGGTATTGGATCATCAAGATTATCTTGCTATGAATAATAATCAAGATCAAAGTAACCTTACTTTTTCATCTTTTTTAGTTGGAGCTGGTTTCTTAGGTGGCATTTTATTTCTATTATTTATTTCTAATTTATTTGTAATTTTCATTTTATTTTTGATTGCTGGGGTTTTGGGGTTTTGGGGTTTTGGGG